TTCCTCCCATTCTCTTGTTTTTGCATTTTTGCAATTATGTCTGTTGACACACAAAAGTTTTTACTTTTTTGAAGTCCATTGTATTTGTTTTTATCTTTGGTTTGCTTATGCTTTAGGTGTCATATCAAAGAAACCACTGCCTAATCAAAGGTCACAAAGATTTATACCTGTGATTTCTTAAAAGAATTTTATAGTTTTAGTTTTTAAGAAATTTGAAATTCAAATTGGATTAGTTAGTAAGTACATAGCAGGTAGATCCTGGGTGTGTGACGTAGGAGTCCCATTCATTCTTTTACATGGTTTATTATCCCCCCTCTATGTATTTAAAAGACATTCTTCTTCCATTGAATTGTCTTGGAACACTTGTTGAAAATCAATTGACCCAGCTGGGCATGGTAACTCACGCCTGTAATCCTAGCACTCTGGGAGACCAAGGTGCGTGGATCTTCTGAGCTCAGGAGTTTGAGACCAGCCTGAGTAAGAGTGAGACTTTGTTTCTTAAAAAAAATAAAAAATAAAAATAGCCAGGTGTTCTGGCGAGTACCCATAGTCCCAGCTACTTGGGAGGCTGAGACAAGATCACTTGAGCCCAAGAGTTTGAGGTTGCTGTGAGCTGTGACACCATGGCACTCTACCGAGGGTGACAAAAAAAAGAAAATGAATTTACCATACCAGATGTATGTATAAGTTTGTTTCTGGTTTCTTGATTCTATTTCATTTATCCAAATGTCTGTCCTTATGCCAGACAAGGTTAATTTTTTCATGGATTTTTTTTTTTTTTTTTGGTTAAATAGATTTGTTCCCTGCTTTAAGCTTTATAAATACAAAAAAAAAGCAATACAAATTGTGCAATACACAATATAGGATGACTCTTACTGTTGCTTTGCAATTTCCTCTTAGAAGTTTTGTTCTGGCTCGGCACCTGTGGCTCAAGTGGCTAAGGCGCCACCCACATATACCTAAGGTGGCGGGGTTCGAATCCAGTCCAGGCCCACCAAACAACAATAATGGCTGCAACCAAAAAATAGCCGGGCGTTGTGGCAGGCGCCTGTGGTCCCACCTACTTGGAAGGCTGAGACAGGAGACTCACTTGAGCCCAGGAGTTGGAGGTTGCTGTGAGTGGTGAAGCCATAGCACTCTACCCAGGGGGACAGCTTGAGACTCTGTCTCAAAAAAAAAAAAAGAAGTTTTGTTCTATGGGGCAGTGCCTGTGGCTCAAGTGGGTAGGGCGCCAGCCCCATATACCAGGAGTGGTGGGTTCAAACCTGGCCCCAGCCAGCTAAAAGAGCAGTGGCAATTGCAACAAAAAATAGCTGGGCATTGTGGCAGGGGGCTGTAGTCCCTTTTGGGAATAAAATCATTTAGACTTTCTGAATGTTGACTCAAATACTCATAATTGCCTTTGGTAGTTAATAGTAACTTTTATCTTTCATCTTTGAATGGGTGGTGCCTGTAGTTCAGTGGGTAGGGTGCCGGCCACATACACCGAGTTTGAACCTGGCCCGGGCCAGCTAAAACAACGAGAACTGCAACAAAAAAATTGCCGAGCATGTGGTGGGCGCCTATAGTCCCAGCTACTTGGGAAGCTGAGGCAAGAGAGTTGCTTAAGCCCAAGGGTTTGAAATTGCTGTGAACTGTGACACCATGGCACTCTACCCAGGGCAACAGCTTGAGACTCTTATCTCAAAAAGTAAATAAATAAATCAGGAATGAACTACTATGCAATCCTTACGTTCTTAGTGCACATTTTAATAGTATGCAATACTGATGTTACGGTTCAGAATTTTACTTCTTGGTCTACCTGTTTTCTCTAAGCTAAATTTTAAAGAGAATAGAAACTCCTGATTTGACATATTAGTATGCTATTAATCTTAAGTGAGTAAGTACATCATCCTAAATTTGCATGCACTGGTCTTGAATCTTAGACGTGCACCTTTGTTTCAGTTTGTAGGTTGTTGTATACAAGTAGAGTTCATTGTATGTAATCTCCCTGATCCCCATTTTCAGTTTCACTTTCCATGGTTTGGGGTCAAAAAATATTAAATGAGGCTCAGCAGCTTGGGCACCAGCCACAAACACTGGAGCTGGCAGTTTCGAATTCAGCCTGGGCCTGCCAAACAACAGTGACAACTATAAGGAAAAAAATAGCTGGGTGTTGTGGCGGGCGCTTGTAGTCCTAGCTACTTGGGAGGCTGAGGCAAGAGGCAAGAGGATCGCTTAAGCTCAAGAGTTTGAGGTCGCTGTGAGCTGTGACACCATAGTACTCTACCGAGGGTGACATAGTGAGACTCTATCTCAAAAAAAAAAAAAATATGTATACATATATATATATAATGGAAAATTCTAAAAATAATAAGTTTTAAATTGTATACTATCTTGAATATTACAGTGAAATCTCTTGCTGCAAGCTGTGTCCCATCCTGTCATACACTATCCCTTTGTTACGGATAATTCAGCCTATCTACACTGTATACACTACCCACCCATTAGTCACTAAGAAGTCATCTCGGTTATTAGATCAACTGTTGTGGTGTAGCAGTGCTTATGCTTAAATAACTCTTACTGTACTTAAGAATAGCCTCAAAGCACAAGAATAATGATGCTAGCTAGCAATTTGAGATGCTGTAGAAAGTGTTTTAAGTGAAAAAGTGAAAGTTCTGGCTCGGCGCCTGTGGCTCAAGCGGCT